ATTTATGACGTGTTAAAGCTCCTGTGAGGAAGTTTTCTTTTTTTTTCTTTACTGTAATAGAATAGACTAAATTCTTATTGATGCCTTTATATGATAAAAGCAAAAGTGACAAGATTAGTTGTTCATACACTATAATTTTTAAAGCTTAAAACTGGTGCAAAGGGTTCGGTGTAGGGTTGCCAACCGTCGCGTATTATCCGGGACATCATGTATTTGAGCCGAAAGAGGCGCATCCTGGACAGGACGTTGTTTGTCCGGATAAAGGGAAGATGCACATATTTTTTCTCTTTGTGCGTCACGCATTGTGTCTGGCAGGCAGGCACAGCAGCAGCGCTCACGTGCTTGTGTGCATGTGACTCAGTCTCTGTGTATGTATGTGTGTGCATGCGCTGTACTGTGTAGTGACGAGGCTGCCCTGTTTGTTAGGAAGTGGAACGGGAACGCATATAATGAGCGCCAATAGGTATAACTGTGCCAAAATGCTGCTATCTAAGCGTTTTTGACCCCCCAAATTTCTTTCAATTGCGGGGAAGTGTCCCTTATTTGAATCTCTGGGAGTTGGCAACCCTAGTTAGGTGTCACCCCTACCTGTACCACTATTTGTCCACAAGAGGCGCCAAACTGGACACAGACCAAAAGTTCCTTACAGGAGCTTTAAACTTGATCAAAACTTACTTGGCAGTTGGATGAAGTCCGACTGCTAAAGTTCAATTTTTCAAAAGTGGAAAGGTAGATTAACGGACAGATAATATTGCTGTGAATCTCTGTGAGTTTCTCAGAGGACTTCAGTTGACTCATGTCCATGCACATACTTAAGTGGAGCTAAGTGTTTAGTATATTATCTTCCAGTATGTGTGTAGACATCTTGCTTTCTCCCTCACAGATGTGAGCATTGCACAATAAATCATCATTCCTTAGTTTTTACCTTAAGAATATGCAGGTCTAAATTTATCGCAATAAATGAGAAAAAATGGATGTGCTCGACTTTCTCAATTAGCGTGTTTTAATTTTACTTGTCAGGTGGAAGATTATGTTGTGATGGCTCTTTATTACACTGTTTGGTTGGAGGCGACAGCGAACCTTGAATTAAGATGCCGTTATATAAAAAGATGGTATTGTGCTTTTTTATATTTAATGATTAATATCAAGTTAAATGTTGGATGTCAATACTAAACATGGAAAGGTTTTAGGTTATGAGTTAGACGTATGACGGTGTGATCCCAGGATGAGACTTCAATCAATCTATTTATATCACAATTCACAAAAAGTGTTTTCCCAGACCATCAGCCTGTCATAAATTCAGACTTTTTTGAGCTGTAAATCATAAAAAGTTCCAGTAAGACATAATAAAGCCTGGAAATGAACATAAACCTTGTCTTTATCTGCAATTTTTTTTTTCTTATTTTTTTAAATCAGGAGTGACATGCTGCACACACAGGTGTTACGTAAAGCACGAGGAACAGCAGAAAGACACGTGGTTGCAGCCTCTGTCAAGTGTTATTCTTATTCATCGCTACTTAAATTGCTGTTGCAGTATTGAACATTATAATTGCTTATTGCAAATTGTCTTGCATTGTGCAGAGCTCGACACTGGTTACACAATGCATGTACATAAGTTACATCATTTAATGGTGTGTTAGTTATGTAACCAGTGCAAGTTGTATACAAGTGCTTAAGAAACCAGAACTTTTTTCTTTCCTTCAACATGAAAAAGTTTATTTTATGCTTTTTTTGCTCCCTAACAACAGTCAATTAAAGACATTTAACACTTTTATTGGGTTGTTACGCATTTGAAAATCACAAAAATGTGACTCATTTGAAGATTAGCTGGACTTTGTAGATGTTTTTGGATGTTTATTGTCTTTCAGAGCTTGATAAGCAGCTTTTTTTGGAAAGGCGAGGGGGTAGACTGGTGTGAGGGGGTAGGTGTCAGAGTAGCAGCTGAATAGTCACCCCTATTCGTACCATTATTTGTCTACAGGAGGCGCCAAACTGGACACAGACCAAAAGTTCTTGAAAAGGTTGACAGGTTGTCCTAGATTTTAAAGACCTTCCTAATAACCACTTACTGGCAATTTCCACCGCATCCGCAACAGCTACTAAAAGGCCGTATCCCCTGATTATAACTGATCGTAACCATTCAAGTTAATGTGCCAGTTTCCACCGGCTTCTTTCCGTCCAGCTGTGGTTCGCTGGACTCCGCAGTTGATTGCAAGAGCTCATTTTTTTCTGGATGCCGGAGCATGCCTGATAAATTCAGCACAGATTAACCCGTGCTAAAAAGGAAGTCGGGCACAGACACAAGATAAAACATCCGGCTTCCTTTCAAAATAAAACAGTCCGTGGTTCAGGTGGATCGTATTTCACACCATGCAAACAGGCAGGGACGAACAAGTACAGGTTTTAGACAGAATTTGATGACACCATGGATGAGGAGATGCTGATTTTATAAGTCTAGAAGTAGATTTCCTCCTCTGGAAGGACACAATCTAATGCTTTTATGGTAGCCTATGTGGCTAAAGACGACTTGTTATCTCGCGATTGCATGTGAATCAGCAGGTTCTTCCTAGTTCTCGCGATTCCTGCTGTCTGTAATCTGCTACAAAATTCGCCTCACAAATGGATCTGGTAGAAATTGGTGTATGGCAGAAATCACTGCCGTTCGGGATTGAAAATAAACTATCTGAAATCACTGCAATATAGCTGTGTGTCACAGGACTGTCGAACGTAAACATGCATGCACAGACGACAGCAAAATGCTCAATGACAGGATAATTTGAAGACAGTGTTGCACGTGAAATATGTTGTATATGTTGTATATGTTGTAATCATATCGTGGCATCTGTACCACACACGTATGGTACTGTGAGACTCTTCTGGACAGTCGTGTTTTCATACGCCCACAGCTTCCTCTTTGATACATAGGCGATGAGGAATGTCATTGTTGTGTTTTATATTTCTTGTTATTTCTCAGTGGAAAACACCTTGTAGTTTTCTCTTTTCTGCTCGGACACTCAGTATAAAATACAGACTCTATTACTCCAGCAATCTTAATTATCCAGGCCTGATGTTTAATATATCTAGACAGTCCCCTTTATTTTACAGCTTCACTACTGAGTCAATTGGTTCCAAATCATAAAGTCCTTTGACTCAGGAGATGATGTAGTCCCTTTGGCGTCCTGTGATTGGATTTGGTAGTCCTTGACTCTACATTTTATCGGTCTCTGGCACTGATCTACACGGTGATCAATAGCGAGAGAAAGACTGACCTTGTTTAAACGGCCCACCTTGGGATCACGTGAGGTTGTAGAGTCTGATGTGTTTCTCTGCAGGTCAACGGTTAACATGAGAGTATAAACCTGGCGACAGATTCATAGGAAACAGTCGCTTTAATGCATGAATAAACAGGAGGGCGACCATTGAGCTGCACAAAGAAACATCCTGAGACATGCTGTAAGCGGATAAAAGAGTGTGCTTTGAGGAAAATTAATGATTTTAAGCATTAAAATGAAGGAATTTCACAATAATTTAATGATTTTAAAGATAATTTAAACAGTTGTCTGAGCAAAACTGAACTTACTGGTATCTAAAACTTAATCTTGGGCCCATGTGAGCGCCTTAATGTTGAATATGTGTTTATCTTATAAATGTGTTAGTATAGATCATTGATAATGCATGAGGTTTGCAAAGTGGTTCATGGTTTATCAAACATTTACAATCACAGATCAATAAGTAATGAAATACGTTGTAAAATTTTAATAATTTGTACTTAATGGATCCTGAACAGATGATCTTATTGCTCCAGATCGCACGTTACGCCTCATCACAACAGATTTAAATCTGTTTGCTGCTGTTTGAAAGTGATGCTTAAGATGTCACCCAGATAATCTTAACCACATTAATGTCTGAATAAACCCGCTAAAAGTATCAAAACTTGGGCAGCAGCTTTTTATTTATGCTCATGGGAAATGCAGTCTTTCTCCTGGAGTTAACCAAAATTAACCTGATGTAGAAGCTCCTCTCAGCACCTTTTAATTAGGCTGACCATATTCTGAATCCCCAAAAAGAGGACACTACTATACGGGGGCAGAGTCACAGAGTCACGCGTAGTTAATTTTAAGAGTTTTTCGGGTCAGATTGAGTGTTTTTTACGTGCTTCTAACTCAGTAAGTCCACACGGCACAAACTCAAAACTTCCGTACATAACTCCGGATTTTATTAACTCCCTGGACAAGACCGAACAGCCCCCCAAAAAAGAGGACCACATCATTCTGCTCATAATCTCTCCTTTGCTTGTTTCCAAGCATTGAGGACCAATGTTTCGTATTTTGAAGACAAGCAGGGAACTTTCCTGTCTCTTGATGATCTTTGGTTGCTTCTTAGTGGACACTACCGTCAAGGGAACAATAGAAGAACTAGGACCCCGTTGGGGCACTGGCGGGCCCGAGCCGTGTCGCGTGTGTCTGTGTGTGCGTTCAAGTCACATGACATATTTAACCGGATGTAGCTGCAAGACGGAGCCTCGTTGACTCTCCGTTTCAACTTATCTCAAAAGTGAGGACCTCAACCTATATACCAGTTTTTAAATTGTGTTGATAGGCCAAATAAAACCAGAGTTATGATAAATTATGTCCGCGATACTTTTTTTCTGCTTATTTTGATCACGTTCGGCGCTCGATCGCGCTGTATGAGACAGGAAAACATAGCATGCAGACATTAGCGACAGGTCTTACAGGCGGAAAAGGCTTGCCAAAAGAAAAAAAAAACACACCACAACATCTCTCCTATTGGTGGAAAACTTCACCACAACAACCAATCCAAAATTATATGGTGACTGATTGACAAGGGGTGGGCGCTTACGTTCTTCCTGCAACATGAGAAGGGAGGGAGGGACTCTCAGCAGGGATGCAGTCTGGGACACGTAGTTGCAAACCTAGCGACTTTGTTGTTAGATTCAATGACTTTTCAGACCCCCTAACGACTTTTTAGAAAGAAAGGGACTTTTATCGACTTCTTCTGGAGTTTAGAGACTCTGACATGAAGCAGGCTTTCCTTACTGAGGAGTTAGCAACGCTGCTAAGGGTGCAGAGCCACACATGCGCTCAGAGCTCTGCATGGGAGACTGAAGCTGACAGAGCTGCAGCAGTTAGCAGGTTTCACCCTCAGAGACCACCAGGGGTTCATGTTGAGGCATTTTTATTTTTATTTTTTTTTGTGCCATAGACACTGTCAGCACAATCTGCAGTTACACTAACAAAAATGCTGCAAAAAACAAAGAATTGTGGAAAAATTACACATGGACTGACATAGAGGAGGATCTACACAAGTATTTTACATCATGTTTTACATCATGCATCATTTACATCATGTTTTTTTGTAGTGGCATAAATAAAAAGTGACATTTGTGAGACTATACAGTGTTTTGTAAATAATTTTACAAAGAACGCCTGGGCCATTGCCTGCATTTTGATGTAAATAGAGGTAAATCACTATGTTCTTTGTTAAAAATTTGCATATGTTTTGAAGTTTACAATTTTTATTTGAAGTTTAAGTTTTAAAAACAGTTCATCACACATATTTGTGGTTTTCACAGTAAAAATGTTACTTTTTTCCACTCGGATTTTATGTTTTGTGTGTGAATTTGGGTCCATTGTGTAAATTCAGTATGTCAACATGATAAAATAACTGTAAATTCGCACAGGTGAGGTTGTGCTGAAAAAAATGATACCAGGCAAGGCACGTGATTGTCAAATTTTGTGTCAATATGACAAAGCGTATAGGCGTGAATCTCAACAATATGTATTTTCACCTTAAGGGACAAGAAAAAATGGACTTTTTTCTCCTGCCATGGGGGGGGCGCTCTTTTGGGGAGTAAAAATTCCTTCACAAATGTGTTGATGGCTGGACATTGCATCATCCTAGAAAACTTGGAGGCCAGTGAGGACAAAAATAAAAAGTTATAAGACTTTTAAATATGTGGATTTTAGGGTTATCTTTGGCGCCCCCTAGAACCTAAACCGTGGGTTGCAGCGTCATGATTTTGATAACTTTTAATGGCCATGGGGTGTAGATTGGCCTGAGCAAATGTGGTGCCGGTGGAACGAAAGCCTTAGGAGGAGTTAGCCACATTCCAATGTGTGCGGATCGGCAAAAAATGCGGAATAACCCTTTAACCGTACATTTGACAGATACGCGCGCATTGACTTTTTCGTAGATCTTATTGAGTTACATGTGTGTGTCAATTTTTGTGTCATTTTGACAAAGCGTATAGGCGTGACACTCAACAATGTGTATTTTCACCTTAGGGGACAAGAAAAAATTGACTTTTTTCTCCTGCCATGGGGGGGCGCTCTTTTGGGGAGTAAAAATTCCTTCACAAATGTGTTGATGGCTGGACATTGCATCATCCTAGAAAACTTGGAGGCCAGTGAGGACAAAAATAAAAAGTTATAAGACTTTTAAATATGTGGATTTTAGTGTTATCTTTGGCGCCCCCTAGAACCTAAACCTTGGGGTGCAGCGTCATGATTTTGATAACTTTTAATGGCCACGGGGTGTAGATTGGCCTGAGCAAATGTGGTGCCGGTGGAACGAAAGCCTTCGGAGGAGTTAGCGAAATTCCAATGTGTGCGGATCGGCAAAAAATGCGAAATAACCCTTTAACCGTAATTTTGACAGATACGGCCGCACTGACTTTTTTGTAGATCTTATTGAGATACATATGTGTGTCAATTTTTGTGTCAATATGACAAAGCGTACAGGCGTGACAGTCAATAGTGTGAATTTCCACCTTAGGGGGCGCTATGGAGCCATTTTGCATTTTATTGTTTGGGCGACTTCAGAATATCGAATTTTTCACCAGGCCCGGTCGTCCTGCCAAATTTCATGAGTTTTCGCCAGTGGGAAGTGGGCCATTTTCCAGTTCAAAGGGGAGGAAAAAGAAACTAGGGCCCCGGTGGGGCACTGTCGGGCCCGAGCCGCGTTGCGCCGCCCCCAGCGCGACCGCCTCCCCCTCCCGATCGCGTCACACTCAAGGTCCAAAGATGGTGTGCGCACTTGTCTGTGGTCATTTCCCATTATAATGAATGGGAGGCGCAGTTTCTACCAAAACACTCGCTGCAGACAAACTACATGTCCTATTTGAAAAAAGTCTGGACCATGAGTGAGGGCACAAACACAGCTAGGATATATCCAAACGGCAAGTTGCTCCTCGTTACGGTGTTGCCGGGAGAGTGATGCGATTGAGCCATTGAGTGATGGGCAGGAAAAACTTGACTGTTTCTCCTGCCATGGGGGTTGGGGGTTGGGGGATGGGGGGGGGGGATGTGGATTCTTTTAAGAATGTGGATATTTGGGTCATCTTTGGCGCCCCCTAGAACGTAAACCGTGGGGTGCAGCGTCATGATTTGAATAACTTTGAATGGCCATGGGGTGTAGATTGGCCTGAGAGAATTTGGTGTCAGTGGGACGAAAGCCTTAGGAGGAGTTAGCCACATTCCAATGTGTGCGAATCGGCAAAAAATGCAAAATAGCCCTTTAACCGTACATTTTACAGATACGCGCGCATTGACTTTTTCGTAGATCTTATTGAGATACATGTGATTGTCAAATTTTGTGTCAATATGACAAAGCGTACAGGTATGACAGTCAACAATGTGTATTTTCACCTTATGGGACAAGAAAAAATTGACTTTTTTCTATTGCCATGGGGGGGCGCTCTTTTGGGGAGTAAAAATTCCTTCACAAATGTGTTGATGGCTGGACATTGCATCATCCTAGAAAACTTGGAGGCCAGTGAGGGCAAAAATAAAAAGTTATAAGACTTTGAAATATGTGGATTTTAGGGTTATCTTTGGCGCCCCCTAGAACCTAAACCGTGGGGTGCAGCGTCATGATTTGAATAACTTTTAATGGCCATGGGGTGTAGATTGGCCTGAGCAAATGTGGTGGCGGTGGAATGAAAGCCTTCGGAGGAGTTAGCGAAATTCCAATGTGTGCGGATCGGCAAAAAATGCGGAATAACCCTTTAACCGTACATTTGACAGATACGCCCGCACTGACTTTTTTGTAGATCTTATTGAGATACATGTGTGTGTCAATTTTTGTGTCAATATGACATGAGAAGGGAGGGAGGGACTCTCAGCAGGGATGCAGTCTGGGACACGTAGTTGCAAACCTAGCGACTTTGTTGTTAGATTCAATTACTTTTCAGACCCCCTAACGACTTTTTTTTAGAAAGAAAGGGACTTTTATCGACTTCTTCTGGAGTTTAGAGACTCTGACATGAAGCAGGCTTTCCTTACTGAGGAGTTAGCAACGCTGCTAAGGGTGCAGAGCCACACATGCGCTCCGAGCTCTGCATGGGAGACTGAAGCTGACAGAGCTGCAGCAGTTAGCAGGTTTCACCCTCAGAGACCACCAGGGGTTCATGTTGAGGCATTTTCAGTTTTTGTTTTTTTTGCCATAGACTGTCAGCACAATCTGCAGTTACACTAACAAAAATGCTGCAAAAAACAAAGAATTATGGAAAAATTACACATGGACTGACATAGAGGAGGATCTACACAAGTTTTTTACATCATGTTTTACATCATGCATCATTTACATCATGTTTTTTTGTAGTGGCATAAATAAAAAGTGACATTTGTGAGACTATACAGTGTTTTGTAAATAATTTTACAAAGAACGCCTGGGCCATTGCCTGCATTTTGATGTAAATAGAGGTAAATTACTATGTTCTTTGTTAAAAATTTGCATATGTTTTGAAGTTTACAATTTTTATTTGAAGTTTAAGTTTTAAAAACAGTTCATCACACATATTTGTGTTTTAATTTCACATTAATTTCCATATTGTATAAATGACTGGAAAAAACTTGAGCCCCTGCCCCTGTATAATCATGTGCACGTCCCTGTTCTAGCTCCAAGGTGAATCTTCACTGCTCATGTTCTCCTCAGAAATAGTCACCTCACTCCCCTCAGGTTACTGTACACATGCACCAACTATCTGCTTCAGGTTTGGATGGAGCTTCATGGTTGTCTTTTGGAGAAATGAACAGTCAAGTTGTGTTTGAAATCTGATTTTTTTCAGGGGCAAAAGGAAGCCTCTGCATTCTTGTCAAATATGTAAACAGCATGTTTTTGCAGGTGCTAAAAAACAGACTCTGAGTGTGTGTGTGTGTGTGTGTGTGTGTGTGTGTATATGTGTGTGTATCCTGCAGTACTCTGTACTCCTGCAGTGGCCAAAAAGACTTTTAAGAATGTGGATTTTTGGGTCATCTTTGGCGCCCCCTAGAACTGCAGTACTCTGTACTCCTGCAGTGGCCAAAATGACTTTTAAGAATGTGGATTTTTGGGTCATCTTTGGTGCCCCCTAAAACATAAACCGTGGGGTGCAGCGTCATGATTTTTACAACTTTGAATGGCCATGGGGTGTAGATTGCCCTGAGCAAATTTGGTATCGGTGGGACGAAAGCCTTAGGAGGAGATAGCCACATTCCAATGTGTGCGAATCGGCAAAAAATGCGAAATAGCCCTTTAACCGTACATTATACAGATACGCGCTTTTTGACTTTTTCGTAGATCTAATTGAGATACACGTGATTGTCAATTTTTGTGTCAATATGACAAAGCGTTCAGGCATGACACTCAACAATGTGTATTTTCATGTAAGGGGACAAGAAAAAATTGACTTTTTTCTCCTGCCATGGGGGGGCGCTCTTTTGGGGAGTAAAAATTCCTTCACAAATGTGTTGATGGCTGGACATTGCATCATCCTAGAAAACTTGGAGGCCAGTGAGGGCAAAAATAAAAAGTTATAAGACTTTGAAATATGTGGATTTTAGGGTCATCTTTGGCGCCCCCTAGAACCTAAACCGTGGGGTGCAGCGTCATGATTTGAATAACTTTTAATGGCCATGGGGTGTAGATTGGCCTGAGCAAATGTGGTGCCGGTGGAACGAAAGCCTTCGGAGGAGTTAGCGAAATTCCAATGTGTGCGGATCGGCAAAAAATGCGCAATAACCCTTTAACTGTACATTTGACAGATACGCCCGCACTGACTTTTTTGTAGATCTTATTGAGATACATGTGTGTGTCAATTTTTGTGTCATTTTGACAAAGCGTACAGGCGTCAGGTGAATTTTTCACCTTAGGGGGCGCTATGGAGCCATTTTGCATTGTATTGTTTGGGCGACTTCAGAATATCAAATTTTTCACCAGGCCCGGTCGTCCTGCCAAATTTCATGAGTTTTCGCCAGTGGGAAGTGGGCCATTTTCCAGTTCAAAGGGGAGGAAAAAGAAAAAAGAAACAAAGAAAAACCACTTGGGGAATAATAGGGCTCTCGCAGCTGCTTAGCAGCTACGCTCGGGCCCTAAAAAGAAAGAACTAGGACCCCGTTGGGGCACTGGCGGGCCCGAGCCGTGTCGCGTCTCCCCCCCCCCCCCCCCAACGTGCTGCCTCCCCGTCCCATTTGTGTCCTCTGGCCATCGCCCTCTCTGTTAACACCCATCACTGCAAAGACCCTTTTCCTTCATCGCAGTTTTGCTGTTCTTCCTGCCAGTGTGTGTTGCTTTCACTTACACTTGCCACAGCCAGCCTCGTGAGTGCCTAGCCTATTGGATATCACTGTCACCTACACAGGACAGTCATTACCTTTCTATTAATACTTTGTGTTTTAATTTCACATTAATTTCCATATTGTATAAACGACTGGAAAAAACTTGAGCCCCTGCCCCTGTATAATCATGTGCATGTCTCTGTTCTAGCTCCAAGGTGAATCTTCACTGCTCATGTTCTCCTCAGAAGCACTCACCTCACTCCCCTCAGGTTACTGTACACATGCACCAACTGCCTGCTTCAGGTTTGGATGGAGCTTCATGGTTGTCTTTTGGAGAAATGACCAGTCAAGTTGTGTTTGAAATTTGATTTTTTTCAGGGGCAAAAGGAGCCTCTGCATTCTTGTCAAATGTGTAAATAGCATGTTTTTGCAGGTGCTAAAAACCAGACTCTGAGTGTGTGTGTGTGTGTGTGTGTGTGTGTGTGCGTGTGTGTGTGTCTGTGTGTGCGTTCAAGTCACATGACATATTTAACCGGATGTAGCTGCAAGACGGAGCCTTGTTGACTCTCCGTTTCAACTTATCTCAAAAGTGAGGACCTCAACCTATATACCAGTTTTTAAATTGTGTTGATAGGCCAAATAAAACCAGAGTTATGATAAATTATGTCCGCGATACTTGTTTTCTGCTTATTTTGATCACGTTCGGCGCTCGATCGCGCTGTATGAGACAGGAAAACATAGCATGCAGACATTAGCGACAGGTCTTACAGGCGGAAAAGGCTTGCCAAAAGAAAAAAAAAACACACCACAACATCTCTCCTATTGGTGGAAAACTTCACCACAACAACCAATCCAAAATTATATGGTGACTGATTGACAAGGGGCGGGCGCTTACGTTCTTCCTGCAACATGAGAAGGGAGGGAGGGACTCTCAGCAGGGATGCAGTCTGGGACACGTAGTTGCAAACCTAGCGACTTTGTTGTTAGATTCAATGACTTTTCAGACCCCCTAACGACTTTTTTTTAGAAAGAAAGGGACTTTTATCGACTTCTTCTGGAGTTTAGAGACTATGACATGAAGCAGGCTTTCCTTACTGAGGAGTTGCAACGCTGCTAAGGGTGCAGAGCCACACATGCGCTCAGAGCTCTGCATGGGAGACTGAAGCTGACAGAGCTGCAGCAGTTAGCAGGTTTCACCCTCAGAGACCACCAGGGGTTCATGTTGAGGCATTTTAATTTTTTTTTTTTTTTGTGCCATAGACACTGTCAGCACAATCTGCAGTTACACTAACAAAAATGCTGCAAAAAACAAAGAATTATGGAAAAATTACACATGGACTGACATAGAGGAGGATCTACACAAGTTTTTTACATCATGTTTTACATCATGCATCATTTACATCATGTTTTTTTGTAGTGGCATAAATAAAAAGTGACATTTGTGAGACTATACAGTGTTTTGTAAATAATTTTACAAAGAACGCCTGGGCCATTGCCTGCATTTTGATGTAAATAGAGCTAAATTACTATGTTCTTTGTTAAAAATTTGCATATGTTTTGAAGTTTACAATTTTTATTTGAAGTTTAAGTTTTAAAAACAGTTCATCACACATATTTGTGGTTTAATTTCACATTAATTTCCATATTGTATAAATGACTGGAAAAAACTTGAGCCCCTGCCCCTGTATAATCATGTGCACGTCCCTGTTCTAGCTCCAAGGTGAATCTTCACTGCTCATGTTCTCCTCAGAAATAGTCACCTCACTCCCCTCAGGTTACTGTACACATGCACCAACTATCTGCTTCAGGTTTGAAATGGAGCTTCATGGTTGTCTTTTGGAGAAATGAACAGTCAAGTTGTGTTTGAAATTTGATTTTTTTCAGGGGCAAAAGGAAGCCTCTGCATTCTTGTCAAATATGTAAACAGCATGTTTTTGCAGGTGCTAAAAAACAGACTCTGAGTGTGTGTGTGTGTCTGTGTGTGTGTGTGTGTGTGTGTGTGTGTGTGTGTGTGTGTGTGTGTATGTTGGCGTGTGTGTATGTTGGCGTGTGTGTATATGTGTGTGTATCCTGCAGTACTCTGTACTCCTGCAGTGGCCAAAAAGACTTTTAAGAATGTGGATTTTTGGGTCATCTTTGGCGCCCCCTAGAACTGCAGTACTCTGTACTCCTGCAGTGGCCAAAATGACTTTTAAGAATGTGGATTTTTGGGTCATCTTTGGCGCCCCCTAGAACGTAAACCGTGGGGTGCAGCGTCATGATTTTTACAACTTTGAATGGGCATGGGGTGTAGATTGCCCTGAGCAAATTTGGTATCGGTGGGACGAAAGCCTTAGGAGGAGATAGCCACATTCCAATGTGTGCGAATCCGCAAAAAATGCAAAATAGCCCTTTAACCGTACATTATACAGATACGCGCTCTTTGACTTTTTCGTAGATCTAATTGAGATACACATGATTGTCAATTTTTGTGTCAATATGACAAAGCGTTCAGGCGTGACACTCAACAATGTGTATTTTCATGTAAGGGGACAAGAAAAAATTGACTTTTTTCTCCTACCATGGGGGGCGCTCTTTTGGGGAGTAAAAATTCCTTCACAAATGTGTTGATGGCTGGACATTGCATCATCCTAGAAAACTTGGAGGCCAGTGAGGACAAAAATAAAAAGTTATAAAACATTTAAGAATGTGGATTTTTGGGTTATTTTTGGCGCCCCCTAGAACCTAAACCATGGGGTGCAGCATCATGATTTGAATAACTTTTAATGGCCATGGGGTGTAGATTGGCCTGAGCAAATGTGGTGCCGGTGGAACGAAAGCCTTCGGAGGAGTTAGCGAAATTCCAATGTGTGCGTATCGGCAAAAAATGCGGAATAACCCTTTAACTGTACATTTGACAGATACGCGCGCTTTGACTTTTTTGTAGATCTTATTGAGTTACATGTGTGTGTCAAATTTTGTGTCATTTTGACAAAGCGTATAGGCGTGACACTCAACAATGTGTATTTTCACCTTAGGGGACAAGAAAAAATGGACTTTTTTCTCCTGCCATGGGGGGGCGCTCTTTTGGGGAGTAAAAATTCCTTCACAAATGTGTTGATGGCTGGACATTGCATCATCCTAGAAAACTTGGAGGCCAGTGAGGACAAAAATAAAAAGTTATAAGACTTTGAAATATGTGGATTTTAGGGTTATCTTTGGCGCCCCCTAGAACCTAAACCGTGGGGTGCAGCGTCATGATTTGAATAACTTTTTATGGCCATGGGGTGTAGATTGGCCTGAGCAAATGTGGTGCCGGTGGAACGAAAGCCTTCGGAGGAGTTAGCGAAATTCCAATGTGTGCGGATCGGCAAAAAATGCGCAATAACCCTTTAACCGTACATTTGACAGATACGCCCGCACTGACTTTTTTGTAGATCTTATTGAGATACATGTGTGTGTCAATTTTTGTGTCATTTTGACAAAGCGTACAGGCGTCAGGTAAATTTTTCACCTTAGGGGGCGCTATGGAGCCATTTTGCATTGTATTGTTTGGGCGACTTCAGAATATCAAATTTTTCACCAGGCCCGGTCGTCCTGCCAAATTTCATGAGTTTTCGCCAGTGGGAAGTGGGCCATTTTCCAGTTCAAAGGGGAGGAAAAAGAAAAAAGAAACAAAGAAAAACCACTTGGGGAATAATAGGGCTCTCGCAGCTGCTTAGCAGCTACGCTCGGGCCCTAACTAGGACCCCGTTGGGGCACTGGCGGGCCCGAGCTGTGTCGCGTCCCCCCCCCCAACGCGCTGCCTCCCCGTCCTATTCGCGTCCTCTGGCCATCGCCCTCTCTGGTAACGCCCATCACTGCAAAGACCCTTTTCCTTCATCGGCGTTTGCTGTTCTTCCTGCCAGTGCATGTTGCTTTCACTTACACTTGCCACAGCCAGCCTCGTGAGTGCCTAGCCTATTGGATATCACTGTCACCTACACAGGACATTCATTACCTTTCTATTAATACTTTGTTTTTTAATTTCACATTAATTTCCATATTGTATAAACAACTGGAAAAAACTTGAGCCCCTGCCCCTGCCCCTGTATAATCATGTGCACGTCTCTGTTCTAGCTCTAAGGTGAATCTTCACTGCTCATGTTCTCCTCAGAAGCAGTCACCTCACTCCCCTCAGGTTACTGTACACATGCACCAACTGCCTGCTTCAGGTTTGGATGGAGCTTCATGGTTGTCTTTTGGAGAAATGACCAGTCAAGTTGTGTTTGAAATTTGATTTTTTTCAGGGGCAAAAGGAGCCTCTGCATTCTTGTCAAATATGTAAATAGCATGTTTTTGCAGGTGCTAAAAACCAGACTCTGAGTGTGTGTGTGTGTGCGTGTGTGTGTGTGTGTGTGTGTGTGTGTGTGCGTTCAAGTCACATGACATATTTAACCGGATGTAGCTGCAAGACGGAGCCTCGTTGACTCTCCGTTTCAACTTATCTCAAAAGTGAGGACCTCAACCTATATACCAGTTTTTAGATTGTGTTGATAGGCCAAATAAAACCAGAGTTATGATAAATTATGTCCGCGATACTTGTTTTCTGCTTATTTTGATCACGTTCGGCGCTCGATCGCGCTGTATGAGACAGGAAAACATAGCATGCAGACATTAGCGACAGGTCTTACAGGCGGAAAAGGCTTGCCAAAGGAAAAAAAAAACACACCACAACATCTCTCCTATTGGTGGAAAACTTCACCACAACAACCAATCCAAAATTATATGGTGACTGATTGACAAGGGGCGGGCGCTTACGTTCTTTCTGCAATATGAGAAGGGAGGGAGGGACTCTCAGCAGGGATGCAGTCTGGGACACGTAGTTGCAAACCTAGCGACTTTGTTGTTAGATTCAATGACTTTTCAGACCCCCTAACGACTTTTTTTTAGAAAGAAAGTGACTTTTATCGACTTCTTCTGGAGTTTAGAGACTCTGACATGAAGCAGGCTTTCCTTACTGAGGAGTTAGCAACGCTGCTAAGGGTGCAGAGCCACACATGCGCTCCGAGCTCTGCATGGGAGACTGAAGCTGACAGAGCTGCAGCAGTTAGCAGGTTTCACCCTCAGAGACCACCAGGGGTTCATGTTGAGGCATTTTCATTTTTTTTTTTTTTTTTTGGCCATAGACACTGTCAGCACAATCTGCAGTTACACTAACAAAAATGCTGCAAAAAACAAAGAATTATGGAAAAATTACACATGGACTAACATAGAGGAGGATCTACACAAGTTTTTTACATCATGTTTTACATCATGCATCATTTACATCATGTTTTTTTGTAGTGGCATAAATAAAAAGTGACATTTGTGAGACTATACAGTGTTTTGTAAATAATTTTACAAAGAACACCTGGGCCATTGCCTGCATTTTGATGTAAATAGAGGTAAATTACTATGTTCTTTGTTAAAAATTTGCATATGTTTTGAAGTTTACAATTTTTATTTGAAGTTTAAGTTTTAAAAACAGTTCATCACACATATTTGTGGTTTTCACAGTAAAAACGTTACTTTTTTCCACTCGGATTTTATGTTTTGTGTGTGAATTTGGGTCCAATGTGTAAATATAGTATGTCAAAATGATAAAATAACTGTAAATTGACACAGGTAAGGTTGTGCTGAAAAAAATGATACCAGGCAAGGCAAGGTAAAAATTTTGTAAGAGGAAATATAAAGGTAAAATCTAAAGTAGTCAAAAACGGCCAATAGTGACTCACAGACTCCACAGACAAGTCCCTTTGGCGCCACTCAGTGGGCAAAACTACTTTGTCTACTGTAATGTATATTTGGGTCATCTTTGGCGCACCCTAAAACGTAAACCATGGGGTGCAGCGTCATGATTTTTACAACTTTGAATGGCCATGGGGTGTAGATTGGCCTGAGCAAATTTGGTGTCAGTGGGACGAAAACCTTAGGAGGAGTTAGCCACATTCCAATGTGTGCGAATCGGCAAAAAATGCGAAATAGCCCTTTAACCGTACATTTTACAGATACGCGCGCATTGACTTTTTCGTAGATCTTATTGAGATACACGTGATTGTCAAATTTTGTGTCAATATGACAAAGCGTACAGGCGTGGCATTCAACAATGTGTATTTTCACCTTAGGGGACAAGAAAAAATTGACTTTTTTGTCCTGCCATGGGGGGGCGCTCTTTTGGGGAGTAAAAATTCCTTCACAAATGTGTTGATGGCTGGACATTGCATCATCCTAGAAAACTTGGAGGCCAGTGAGGGCAAAAATAAAAAGTTATAAAACTTTTAAGAATGTGGATTTTAGGGTTATTTTTGGCGCCCCCTAGAACCTAAACCATGGGGTGCAGCATCATGATTTGTACAACTTTGAATGGCCATGGAGTGTAGATTGGCCTGAGCAAATGTGGTGCCGGTGGACCGAAAGCCTTCGGAGGAGTTAGCGAAATTCCAATGTGTGCGGATCTGCAAAAAATGCGAAATAACCCTTTAACCGTACATTTGACAGATACGCCCGCACTGACTTTTTTGTAGATCTTATTGAGATACATGTGTGTGTCAATTTTTGTGTCAATATGACAAAGCGTACAGGCGTGACAGTCAATAGTGTGAATTTTCACCTTAGGGGGCGCTATGGAGCCATTTTGTATTTTATTGTTTGGGCGACTTCAGAATATCGAATTTTTCACCAGGCCCGGTCGTCCTGCCAAATTTCCTGAGTTTTCGCCAGTGGGAAGTGGGCCATTTTCCAGTTTAAAGCGGAGGAAAAATAATAATAATAATAACACTAGGACCCCGTTGGGGCACTGGCGGGCCCGAGCCGTGTCGCGTCTCCCCCCCCCCCCCCCCAACGTGCTGCCTCCCCGTCCCATTTGTGTCCTCTGGCCATCGCCCTCTCTGTTAACACCCATCACTGCAAAGACCCTTTTCCTTCATCGCAGTTTTGCTGTTCTTCCTGCCAGTGTGTGTTGCTTTCACTTACACTTGCCACAGCCAGCCTCGTGAGTGCCTAGCCTATTGGATATCACTGTCACCTACACAGGACAGTCATTACCTTTCTATTAATACTTTGTGTTTTAATTTCACATTAATTTCCATATTGTATAAACGACTGGAAAAAACTTGAGCCCCTGCCCCTGTATAATCATGTGCATGTCTCTGTTCTAGCTCCAAGGTGAATCTTCACTGCTCATGTTCTCCTCAGAAGCACTCACCTCACTCCCCTCAGGTTACTGTACACATGCACCAACTGCCTGCTTCAGGTTTGGATGGAGCTTCATGGTTGTCTTTTGGAGAAATGACCAGTCAAGTTGTGTTTGAAATTTGATTTTTTTCAGGGGCAAAAGGAGCCTCTGCATTCTTGTCAAATGTGTAAATAGCATGTTTTTGCAGGTGCTAAAAACCAGACTCTGAGTGTGTGTGTGTGTGTGTGTGTGTGTGCGTGTGTGTGTGTCTGTGTGTGCGTTCAAGTCACATGACATATTTAACCGGATGTAGCTGCAAGACGGAGCCTTGTTGACTCTCCGTTTCAACTTATCTCAAAAGTGAGGACCTCAACCTATATACCAGTTTTTAAATTGTGTTGATAGGCCAAATAAAACCAGAGTTATGATAAATTATGTCCGCGATACTTGTTTTCTGCTTATTTTGATCACGTTCGGCGCTCGATCGCGCTGTATGAGACAGGAAAACATAGCATGCAGACATTAGCGACAGGTCTTACAGGCGGAAAAGGCTTGCCAAAAGAAAAAAAAAACACACCACAACATCTCTCCTATTGGTGGAAAACTTCACCACAACAACCAATCCAAAATTATATGGTGACTGATTGACAAGGGGCGGGCGCTTACGTTCTTCCTGCAACATGAGAAGGGAGGGAGGGACTCTCAGCAGGGATGCAGTCTGGGACACGTAGTTGCAAACCTAGCGACTTTGTTGTTAGATTCAATGACTTTTCAGACCCCCTAACGACTTTTTTTAGAAAGAAAGGGACTTTTATCGACTTCTTCTGGAGTTTAGAGACTATGACATGAAGCAGGCTTTCCTTACTGAGGAGTTGCAACGCTGCTAAGGGTGCAGAGCCACACATGCGCTCAGAGCTCTGCATGGGAGACTGAAGCTGACAGAGCTGCAGCAGTTAGCAGGTTTCACCCTCAGAGACCACCAGGGGTTCATGTTGAGGCATTTTAATTTTTTTTTTTTTTTGTGCCATAGACACTGTCAGCACAATCTGCAGTTACACTAACAAAAATGCTGCAAAAAACAAAGAATTATGGAAAAATTACACATGGACTGACATAGAGGAGGATCTACACAAGTTTTTTACATCATGTTTTACATCATGCATCATTTACATCATGTTTTTTTGTAGTGGCATAAATAAAAAGTGACATTTGTGAGACTATACAGTGTTTTGTAAATAATTTTACAAAGAACGCCTGGGCCATTGCCTGCATTTTGATGTAAATAGAGCTAAATTACTATGTTCTTTGTTAAAAATTTGCATATGTTTTGAAGTTTACAATTTTTATTTGAAGTTTAAGTTTTAAAAACAGTTCATCACACATATTTGTGGTTTAATTTCACATTAATTTCCATATTGTATAAATGACTGGAAAAAACTTGAGCCCCTGCCCCTGTATAATCATGTGCACGTCCCTGTTCTAGCTCCAAGGTGAATCTTCACTGCTCATGTTCTCCTCAGAAATAGTCACCTCACTCCCCTCAGGTTACTGTACACATGCACCAACTATCTGCTTCAGGTTTGAAATGGAGCTTCATGGTTGTCTTTTGGAGAAATGAACAGTCAAGTTGTGTTTGAAATTTGATTTTTTTCAGGGGCAAAAGGAAGCCTCTGCATTCTTGTCAAATATGTAAACAGCATGTTTTTGCAGGTGCTAAAAAACAGACTCTGAGTGTGTGTGTGTGTCTGTGTGTGTGTGTGTGTGTGTGTGTGTGTGTGTGTGTGTGTGTATGTTGGCGTGTGTGTATGTTGGCGTGTGTGTATATGTGTGTGTATCCTGCAGTACTCTGTACTCCTGCAGTGGCCAAAAAGACTTTTAAGAATGTGGATTTTTGGGTCATCTTTGGCGCCCCCTAGAACTGCAGTACTCTGTACTCCTGCAGTGGCCAAAATGACTTTTAAGAATGTGGATTTTTGGGTCATCTTTGGCGCCCCCTAGAACGTAAACCGTGGGGTGCAGCGTCATGATTTTTACAACTTTGAATGGGCATGGGGTGTAGATTGCCCTGAGCAAATTTGGTATCGGTGGGACGAAAGCCTTAGGAGGAGATAGCCACATTCCAATGTGTGCGAATCCGCAAAAAATGCAAAATAGCCCTTTAACCGTACATTATACAGATACGCGCTCTTTGACTTTTTCGTAGATCTAATTGAGATACACATGATTGTCAATTTTTGTGTCAATATGACAAAGCGTTCAGGCGTGACACTCAACAATGTGTATTTTCATGTAAGGGGACAAGAAAAAATTGACTTTTTTCTCCTACCATGGGGGGGCGCTCTTTTGGGGAGTAAAAATTCCTTCACAAATGTGTTGATGGCTGGACATTGCATCATCCTAGAAAACTTGGAGGCCAGTGAGGACAAAAATAAAAAGTTATAAAACATTTAAGAATGTGGATTTTTGGGTTATTTTTGGCGCCCCCTAGAACCTAAACCATGGGGTGCAGCATCATGATTTGAATAACTTTTAATGGCCATGGGGTGTAGATTGGCCTGAGCAAATGTGGTGCCGGTGGAACGAAAGCCTTCGGAGGAGTTAGCGAAATTCCAATGTGTGCGTATCGGCAAAAAATGCGGAATAACCCTTTAACTGTACATTTGACAGATACGCGCGCTTTGACTTTTTTGTAGATCTTATTGAGTTACATGTGTGTGTCAAATTTTGTGTCATTTTGACAAAGCGTATAGGCGTGACACTCAACAATGTGTATTTTCACCTTAGGGGACAAGAAAAAATGGACTTTTTTCTCCTGCCATGGGGGGCGCTCTTTTGGGGAGTAAAAATTCCTTCACAAATGTGTTGATGGCTGGACATTGCATCATCCTAGAAAACTTGGAGGCCAGTGAGGACAAAAATAAAAAGTTATAAGACTTTGAAATATGTGGATTTTAGGGTTATCTTTGGCGCCCCCTAGAACCTAAACCGTGGGGTGCAGCGTCATGATTTGAATAACTTTTTATGGCCATGGGGTGTAGATTGGCCTGAGCAAATGTGGTGCCGGTGGAACGAAAGCCTTCGGAGGAGTTAGCGAAATTCCAATGTGTGCGGATCGGCAAAAAATGCGCAATAACCCTTTAACCGTACATTTGACAGATACGCCCGCACTGACTTTTTTGTAGATCTTATTGAGATACATGTGTGTGTCAATTTTTGTGTCATTTTGACAAAGCGTACAGGCGTCAGGTAAATTTTTCACCTTAGGGGGCGCTATGGAGCCATTTTGCATTGTATTGTTTGGGCGACTTCAGAATATCAAATTTTTCACCAGGCCCGGTCGTCCTGCCAAATTTCATGAGTTTTCGCCAGTGGGAAGTGGGCCATTTTCCAGTTCAAAGGGGAGGAAAAAGAAAAAAGAAACAAAGAAAAACCACTTGGGGAATAATAGGGCTCTCGCAGCTGCTTAGCAGCTACGCTCGGGCCCTAAAAAGAAGAATCCATCAGGAACAAGAGGGCTCTCGCAGCTGCTTAGCAGCTACGCTCGGGCCCTAAAGAAACAAAGACTAGGACCCCGTTGGGGCACTGGCGGGCCCGAGCCGTGTCGCGTCCCCCCCCCAACGTGCTGCCTCCCCGTCCCATTTGTGTCCTCTGGCCATCGCCCTCTCTGGTAACGCCCATCACTGCAAAGACCCTTTTCCTTCATTGGCGTTTGCTGTTCTTCTTGCCAGTGCGTGTTGCTTTCACTTACACTTGCCACAGCCAGCCTCGTGAGTGCCTAGCCTATTGGATATCACTGTCACCTACACAGGACAGTCATTACCTTTCTATTAATACTTTGTGTTTTAATTTCACATTAATTTCCATATTGTATAAACGACTGGAAAAAACTTGAGCCCCTGCCCCTGTATAATCATGTGCATGTCTCTGTTCTAGCTCCAAGGTGAATCTTCACTGCTCATGTTCTCCTCAGAAGCACTCACCTCACTCCCCTCAGGTTACTGTACACATGCACCAACTGCCTGCTTCAGGTTTGGATGGAGCTTCATGGTTGTCTTTTGGAGAAATGACCAGTCAAGTTGTGTTTGAAATTTGATTTTTTTCAGGGGCAAAAGGAGCCTCTGCATTCTTGTCAAATATGTAAATAGCATGTTTTTGCAGGTGCTAAAAACCAGACTCTGAGTGTGTGTGTGTGTGCGTGTGTGTGTGTCTGTGTGTGCGTTCAAGTCACATGACATATTTAACCGGATGTAGCTGCAAGACGGAGCCTCGTTGACTCTCCGTTTCAACTTATCTCAAAAGTGAGGACCTCAACCTATATACCAGTTTTTAAATTGTGATGATAGGCCAAATAAAACCAGAGTTATGATAAATTATGTCCGCGATACTTTTTTTCTGCTTATTTTGATCACGTTCGGCGCTCGATCGCGCTGTATGAGACAGGAAAACATAGCATGCAGACATTAGCGACAGCTCTTACAGGCGGAAAAGGCTTGCCAAAAGAAAAAAAAAACACACCACAACATCTCTCCTATTGGTGGAAAACTTCACCACAACAACCAATCCAAAATTATATGGTGACTGATTGACAAGGGGCGGGCGCTTACGTTCTTCCTGCAACATGAGAAGCGAGGGAGGGACTCTCAGCAGGGATGCAGTCTGGGACACGTAGTTGCAAACCTAGCGACTTTGTTGTTAGATTCAATGACTTTTCAGACCCCCTAACGACTTTTTTTTTTAGAAAGAAAGGGACTTTTATCGACTTCTTCTGGAGTTTAGAGACTCTGACATGAAGCAGGCTTTCCTTACTGAGGAGTTAGCAATGCTGCTAAGGGTGCAGAGCCACACATGCGCTCAGAGCTCTGCATGGGAGACTGAAGCTGACAGAGCTGCAGCAGTTAGCAGGTTTCACCCTCAGAGACCACCAGGGGTTCATGTTGAGGCATTTTCAGTTTTTGTTTTTTTTGCCATAGACACTGTCAGCACAATCTGCAGTTACACTAACAAAAATGCTGCAAAAAACAAAGAATTATGGAAAAATTACACATGGACTGACATAGAGGAGGATCTACACAAGTTTTTTACATCATGTTTTACATCATGCATCATTTACATCATGTTTTTTTGTAGTGGCATAAATAAAAAGTGATATTTGTGAGACTATACAGTGTTTTGTAAATAATTTTACAAAGAACGCCTGGGCCATTGCCTGCATTTTGATGTAAATAGAGGTAAATCACTATGTTCTTTGTTAAAAATTTGCATATGTTTTGAAGTTTACAATTTTTATTTGAAGTTTAAGTTTTAAAAACAGTTCATCACACATATTTGTGGTTTTCACAGTAAAAATGTTACTTTTTTCCACTCGGATTTTATGTTTTGTGTGTGAATTTGGGTCCATTGTGTAAATTCAGTATGTCAACATGATAAAATAACTGTAAATTCGCACAGGTGAGGTTGTGCTGAAAAAAATGATACCAGGCAAGGCACGTGATTGTCAAATTTTGTGTCAATATGACAAAGCGTATAGGCGTGAATCTCAACAATATGTATTTTCACCTTAGGGGACAAGAAAAAATGGACTTTTTTCTCCTGCCATGGGGGGGCGCTCTTTTGGGGAGTAAAAATTCCTTCACAAATGTGTTGATGGCTGGACATTGCATCATCCTAGAAAACTTGGAGGCCAGTGAGGACAAAAATAAAAAGTTATAAGACTTTTAAATATGTGGATTTTAGGGTTATCTTTGGCGCCCCCTAGAACCTAAACCGTGGGGTGCAGCGTCATGATTTGAATAACTTTTAATGGCCATGGGGTGTAGATTGGCCTGAGCAAATGTGGTGCCGGTGGAACGAAAGCCTTAGGAGGAGTTAGCCACATTCCAATGTGTGCAGATCGGCAAAAAATGCGGAATAACCCTTTAACCGTACATTTGACAGATACGCGCGCATTGACTTTTTCGTAGATCTTATTGAGTTACATGTGTGTGTCAATTTTTGTGTCATTTTGACAAAGCGTATAGGCGTGACACTCAACAATGTGTATTTTCACCTTAGGGGACAAGAAAAAATGGACTTTTTTCTTCTGCCATGGGGGGGCGCTCTTTTGGGGAGTAAAAATTCCTTCACAAATGTGTTTATGGCTGGACATTGCATCATCCTAGAAAACTTGGAGGCCAGTGAGGACAAAAATAAAAAGTTAAAAGACTTATAAATATGTGGATTTTAGTGTTATCTTTGGCGCCCCCTAGAACCTAAACCTTGGGGTGCAGCGTCATGATTTTGATAACTTTTAATGGCCACGGGGTGTAGATTAGCCTGAGCAAATGTGGTGCCGGTGGAACGAAAGCCTTCGGAGGAGTTAGCGAAATTCCAATGTGTGCGGATCGGCAAAAAATGCGATATAACCCTTTAACCGTAATTTTGACAGATACGGCCGCACTGACTTTTTTGTAGATCTTATTAAGATACATATGTGTGTCAATTTTTGTGTCAATATGACAAAGCGTACAGGCGTGACAGTCAATAGTGTGAATTTCCACCTTAGGGGGCGCTATGGAGCCATTTTGCATTTTATTGTTTGGGCGACTTCAGAATATCGAATTTTTCACCAGGCCCGGTCGTCCTGCCAAATTTCATGAGTTTTTGCCAGTGGGAAGTGGGCCATTTTCCAGTTCAAAGGGGAGGAAAAAGAAGAACTAGGGCCCCGTTGGGGCACTGGCGGGCCCGAGCCGCGTTGCGCCGCCCCCAATGCGACCGC